CATTTAATTGAAAAAAGTAAAAAATGTTTTACAAAAAATGTAATATACAGGGAAATTTTGTAAATTGAAGAATTATGAAATTATATGAGAACTAATAATAGCGGGTTAGCGGTGGGTACATTAGAAATAAAAAAAATTGAATAAAATTTAAAAAAAGATATAATAATTAATAAAAAAAATATTTAAAGTATATATTAACTAAAATAATGTTTTATATTTAAAAAATATGAAATTGTGTGGATGTTAAAATAAACAAGAAACTAAAAAGATATAATAAATATTTAAATATATGCAAAACGCAGTGTAAAATAAAATATCTGGGAGAAAAAAATAGATAACATAGTAGTCATCCACAAAAAAATTTAAACATTTATTTTGATATAAATTTCGTGAAAGTCGGACAACAAATGTGGAAGTAGTTCGCGATAATACAGAAAAAAAAATTAATTTTTGTATTAAAACGGATTTAATAGAGGCTATATGAGGACCGCGCAAAGCGCGGTCCGAAAAGCTAGTACATTTAAAATTTATAGAATATTATTTAGAATATAAAGATTTATAGTATATAAAATTAGTTGTTTCAAGTAAATTACCTATATATAAACACAAGAGCCGTTATATCTACATACATATATATCAGTGTATACATTTAAAATAAGAAGAAGAGAATAAGAATAAAAAAGACTGGTATTACGGAGACAGAGAGAAAGAGAGAGCGAGAGAGAGAGAGAGAGAGACAGAGAAAGCACATGTTTATTATTATTTTCCTTTAGAGGTCTGTCTTATTTCTTCTCTTAAATTGTGTATTATAAATTCCAAACGAACAATCACCGAGAATAAATCCAACATAAAATCAATTTAAAATTGTATAAATTATAAACTTGATAATAAATATTATATACATATATACAAGGTTTCCTCAGTGAAAATATCGTAATACCAATAAATTTCGAGTTATAAGCGATTGAAAATAAATGGTTTCTTGCAAACTAAGTTTGTGGAAACAAAATATTAACGAATCACATTTGTATATTAATATTAAGTAGGATTTGTTAATAGAACCTTAATTTACGGCTTAATTAGATATATATATATAATCTTATATATGTAATCTTTAACAAAAAAATTAATATTTGATTCTCCTTATTAAAGTTATTCTACTCAATGTCAGTACAACTTAAAAATTATTTTAAATATAAAACACACACAGATACTTTTATAAAAAATATAAAGTACGACAAAATTTAGAAAACAGAATTTTAATAATCTATTAATGAAAGAACAAATATAAAAATATCTATTATAATATTTATTATGTGTTATATATTATTATTATTTTTAACTTATTCTTAATTCTTTATTATTTTAATTCTATATTATTTTTAACTTATTCTTACTTACCTTATATTTCGGAATAGTAGGATTATTGCAAAAGTATATTGATCAAATTTATATTTTTTTAAAGATTAACTGCAACAAATTAATACTAGTAGCATGCAATTGGAAGAATATAATATATTCACACGCACTTTATTGAAAGTATTATATCTACCACGATGTGTGTGATTCGAAAGACTACGAAAGACTGACTGATTCTCTATACGTGTCATCATGATAAATATGTGTTAGGTCAACAACACTTTTAAGGTTGTTATATATATATATAAGACAAAATTACACACATATGTCTCCACACACTTTATCTTTCGAATATTTTTCGGAGTGTTCTTCATTAGAATCCTTTTAATATATCTATTTTGTGGGAGAAAAAGGGCTAGAATAAATGGGACTCATCTCGTGAAGATGCCGGAACAGACTGTTCACGCTGTCCAACGACCATTTGGACTCCGTGCATTTAATTGAGAGATGGTCTTAAACATAAGACATCTAAGAATAATTGTTCAACCATTGCAATTAATCGAATGATAATCAAAGTTTCGTCTTTACATACTTGCGAGATTATGTTTAAATTCTTTCATTATATTTTTATATTTTATACTTGCGGTTGATTGTATCGATAAAGACCTAGTAAGGTCAAAACGTCTACATTTATATTATGAATAAATAATTTTTAATTATTCTTACATCTGAATCATTTCGACTCGTATATTTGGCCTACTTTTCGTGTTTTATTAATTTTAAATTTCACACGAGCGTTGATTTGTATTTTTATTAAAAGTTCAATTGCGAACATTTTTGTGGAAATGCCGAAGTTGACGAAATTGTTTATTGGGAGGAAATCGGATCGTCGAAATTAATGTTAAAAGCATTTGCTCAACTTTCGCTTTTAGAAGTATTAGATCTTTCGAAAAACAAATTGAATTTTCCACCGAAAGGATGGAGCGAGTCTTTCTTTAAAATATTTAAATTTGAACGATAATCAATTTACTTTATTAGAGTCTTTATCTATGGCAAGTGCGTTATTGCCATTGATCGAGATGAATCTGGCGATAAATCCTTTGGAATATTTAAAATTAGTTATTTTAAAAACTTTTATTGCCGCAGAATCTTACTGTGAATTAGTGCAGGGATCAAGTTTGCATACTCAATTTCAATAAATGCAAGTCGAATTAATACTGTTAACTCAAATAAAATCATACTGTAGATGTTGTTTTTCTTATAATTCAATGTTTAATTTTAAAATTCTAAACTTTTTATATTTTTTATTTTAGTATAACGGATTTCTATCTTTTTTTCGAATTTTTTGTTCATATTGCAACACATTTGTACAAATTTTAATTAAAATAGTAATAATTATTTAAAATAATATTAATTATACAACTAGTGATAAATAAAAAGGCCAACTTATCGAGCAATTTTTAGAGTTGTTCTGTCAAATAAAATTTATTCCATGTATAAACTAACATAAACCATTATGTGAAAGCTACAAACATTCTATAAAAACTTAAGAAAAAATTACAATAGGAGTTTGATATAAGGTGTCTTTTTATATTGTTGGTCTTGTCTTGTGTCATCTTCAATAACTTTTTCAAAAAAAAGCGTGGTTAAAATTGTCAAGAAGGACGATGTCAACGCCTACGGAACGTATTAATTTCTCGCATATTAATGATGAAACTTTACGAGATTTGATTAAAATCAAAGATCATATCGAGGCGAACATTTGTTGGATATGACGGATGAAACACGCTTAAATTGTTTATAAATTTTCGAGTCTTATTGAAGAACTAACATTAATTTTCGATATTATGTGGAATTTTTGTATGAATTTGTTTTTCAATAATTACTGTAATATAATACTGAGGAAGGCCGCGTGCGGGGTTAAAACGTTCATTTTATAGTGATTGTAATTTTTTCTTAAGTTTTATTATAGAATGTTTGTAGTTTTCACATAATGTTTTATGTTTAGTTATACATGGAATAAATGTTATTTGACAGAACAACTCTAAGAATTGCTCGATAAGTTGGCCTTTTATTTATCATAATTGTATATACAATATACGAGCGAAGCTTTGTATTAATTGATTTTTTAATATTAATTATGTAAAAAATAGTAAAAACGATAAATATAGAGACAAATAAATAACAAAATAATATTTAATACTAAAGTTCATCTCGCGTTGATTGAAAGAAGCACATGTTAGACGTGAACATATTGAAAACATCAATTTGATGATAAAGTTTTTTATACTTTTTATCTTCTATCTATACTTACATCTCTCTTAAATGTAATTGTTAAAAATAATTAAAACTAATTAAATTGAAATTCCGATTAATACATTTGCAGTATTCTATGTCTATTAAAATATTAGTAATAAGCGCCGAATTATGTTGCAATTTGAAAGTTATGTAATATAATTTTATAAATATCAATAATAAGATTAATATTTCATTAAAATAACTTTTTCTTAAAATTAAGGTGTGATTTACACAAGAATGAGAGGGAAAGGGAAAGTACAAATGGAAGGGAAGAGAGAGAGAGAAATTGTGTTATGTGATTATTTTTAGAGAAAAAATGCTAATCAATCACAAATGTTATGTAATAACATTTTAAATGTAAGAATTAAATATTGACATATAACGCATATAATTATATACTTAACATATTACTAATTTTATAGGTATATATATATATATATATATATAATAATGAATTTAATAATACGTATAAATATGAATATGTTGGCTGTAAATTTTTATAATATTTAAATGAAAATTCGTTATATATACCCGTACGAAAACAAACTACGAGAATACGAAAAAATTACTGATATAATAATACTTTTTCTATAATATATTAATGTTATACCAGTAATTTTTCATATTTTGTGGTTTTCTTCGGAAGGGTATATATACACATATATATACAATACATGTGTATGTTGTGTGGCGTAAAAACATATATTTTAATTAATTCATGTAAAAAAAATTAAAAACAAGTCTATATGTAATCAAAATTATAATAGATAGTGCATTTATCATTTAACAAACAAATTTATATATATAATATATATTATATATACATTTACACATTTTTATATTTATTTTATATCTAACAATAAAATTTATAGTAATATTATAAGGCTACTTCTTGTGAACATAGGCAATAATATATAGTTCAATTATAAGCAAGTTCGCAAAAAATGAAAAGCTTGATGCATGCAGTCATAAAGATTTGTAAATACAGAGACATCGAATAGTTATACATCAAAATAAATAATAATTAAAGCAAAAAAATAAACAGTACATACAATATATAAAAATTATTAATATGAAATATATCCGCGCACACAATGCAACTTTTTTACATCCGTCATAAAGAATGTGATCCAAATACTGTATTCGTCTTTCGATTTGATTTTTGCGAATTGAAATCTTTCTTTCAATTTTCTGCATTAGGAAATCCTAATATACATAAACAAAAATTTGCACAATAAAATCAATATATATTCTTTATATAATAAACAAAACAAATATAAGATTAATATTCAGAAATTAATAACATAGAACATGATTTCTCATTTTCTTTCACTTTCCATAATAATATTGATTAAATTTACCTTTTCTTTATTTCATCAATTAAGTTCGCATTGCGCTTCAACCATTCAACGTATCCGTTTATTTTCTAAAATGTATTATTTTTTAACATTATTAATGAATAACGTTATTGTAACATTATCAAATTTATTTAAACATTAAATAATAATTATTAATATCGCATTCTTATCACATTTTGAATAAATACATATACATAAAACATGTAAAATGTTTACCTGAATTAAATGTACGGAATATACGTTATTAATAATAATAATAAATGCTGCAGTTATATCAAGAAATCTAAAAACGAAAAAACAAATGTATATATAAAACACAATAAATTTGTGTACAAACATTTATAAAAATATGTCACATTACTTTGGTTTTATCTCTAAGAAATTATGTAATAGGTAGTCCAGAAAAGTTGGATTCTTCGCATGTTTGCAATAATATATAAGAAATTGTAAAGAAGATAACGAAATTTGTATTTAATAGATTTATATTTTAAATAATCGATGATGATATTAATATCTTCTAGGCAAGCAAGTATTCTTCAAATTTAGGGTCAGATATATCCAATTCCATAGTATACATTGATCGCCAAGTCTTATTGTTGATAGTCATCAAACCATTACAAAATGTCCATTCCTTCCACCATGGCATAAGTCTGAAATATAAAATAAATTTTCTATTAAAGATTAGCATATAAAGATTTGATGGGATCTCTTGATCAAATCATTTTAACATTATAGCGATACCTACAAGAGAATTTATTAAGAAAAATAAAATATATATTATATATATATATATATATATATATATATGGGGCATTATTTATGAAGTAATCCACTCAAATTTTCAAAGTTTTCCAATCACGCTGAAATTTGCAAAAAGTGTAGTCCTATTAAAGTAAAAATTATTACTCAAGTTGTTTGGCCCACACCATACAGGCTTCTATATTAACAGAGACTTGAATTTTTATCATTTTGGCCGTTACGTCCAACTTCAAACGTTGATAATTTTCAGAAGACTACTCCGATTTTAAAAAATAAGGAATGATTTCAAAAGGTCTTCTTACGTACTTTAATCTTGTGAAATTAGTTATTTTTTCAATAACAATTTAAAAAAATTTAAAAAAAAAAAAGTAAAAACAAATTTTTCTCAAATTTAGACATCTTCGATTTTTTTCAAAAAAATCTTAAAAAAGTAGAAATCTTCCCCTTTAAAACGCTTCTAGGGCCAAGATGTGCAGACTTTTAATTTTCAAGATATAGTCCATTTTAGAACCAAGCGTGTCACCCATGATGCAATTTGGACGCTCCCATACAGCACCGTTAGATTGCAAAAATATTACAACAATCTTTCACCGCAATATTGCAATATTGCAAATTCACTGCAAAATGTTGCTACATCATTGCTGTTGAATTGCAGCAATGTTAAAATGTCCGCTTTTGGAAGATAATAAAATTATTGATTATCGTTAACACTTTTATTGTACAATATTGCAAAAAATTATTTTATTACAGTATTATACCCAGCAAATACCAAGTTACAATTATATAATTGTTAGTTGTAATTTTCCACTCAACAATATAATTGTTATAATACACGTATTATATTTTGAGTGGGAAATTACAACTAACAATTATATAGCTGTAACTTGATGTTTGCTGGGTATAGTATATATATTACAATATATAAATTATAGAATTTGATTACATGCAATATTTCCGAAATATTAATGTCATGTTGCTACAAGTGTGCTGGAATTTTGTGCACCTATATCTCCGCAATGTCTTTATAATGTTGCATTGCAACTTGCAACATTGCAACGTTGCTGCAATATAATTGCAATAATCTGTGCTGTATGGGCTATGATATATACAGAAAGATATCTGGCCAGTTATATTGCTTGTGGCCAAGCGTGGTGACTTCTCATATATTATATATATTGTGACGTGACATTTTGTACTGTCCGTCACAAGGGCCGAAGGCCCGGCCGGGAAGGCGGGAAATCCGGGAACCTTTGCTCTCTCGCCAATCTTTGAGAGAGAGAGAGAGCACCCGAAAAACCATTTTGCGTTTTCTACCGTCGGAGGATGCGCTTCGCGCATCCGTTTGGCGAATTACTTTTTGTAGGATTTTTGTTTGAGCGATTTTTGGCGTTTTCGGCGAGCAATTTTGCATAGGGTACGTGTCTCAACCGAGGAAACCAATAGAGAGAAAGAGTGAGAGAACGGAGAGGACGAAAGAGAGGACGATTTAGGACCGAGCAGAGACCACCAAGTCCGGATCACGCCCGGTAAATATTATTTACACATCAAATTTCTGGCTTGCTCCTCCCATTAAGAACCTGGGTACCGCCGTAAAATGTTCCTTCTTCCGCAGAGATTCCGGCCAGAGACGGGGATGGCCACTCTCTCGCGAGATGCGAGAGAGCCCGGAAACTAAAGGCGCGGAGATACCCTGCCTCGAGCCCCGCAGTTCCGGACACACAGAAATTCCACCGTCGATCAAACAATCGATCTGGCGGATTTTTGGGAGGAATCGCAAAGAGGTGCACTAGTAGGAGTCTTCCCGACGGCCCATAGAGAGGAATAACGGGACCTGAAGCGGAAACACAGAGGAACGGCGAGGAAAATTTACATCAAGAAAATTCGCAGGGCCCCGCGGGGTACCCGGCGGCCCTGCCAGGATAAAGAGCGCCACGGGTGGAAAATGCCAAATTTAGTATCGGCGTGATCCCGGCAGGCCTCTTGCTCGTCACTGTCTGGCGGAGCGTCGACGAGAGCGGAGGTTCCTGCGTTTGGATGCCGAAGCCTCGAAGGACCCACCGATACCGGTAAGACGAACGGCCCTATTTACTTTATAAAGCCGCTAACTTCTTTCTTTTTTGTGAGTACCGTATTCGAGAGAGAAGCGTGTCACGGCCGCGGCCGGTTAATAGATTCACCGGTAATTTCGTGATTTTGAGAGTTTGATTTAGAGTTTCGTTCCGCGTAGAGTTTATAATCTCTAAAAACTCACCTTTAAAAAAGGTAAAAAAAGGCGACCAGTTAAGGGCACGCCATTAACAAAAATTATCCATTGCAAACCCATGTAGAATCCTATCCTATTGCAAACCCATGTAGAATCCTATGAAAAATTAATCATTGCAAACCCATGTAGAATCCTAGGCAAAATTAACCATTGCAAACCCATGTAGAATCGTACCCATTGCAAACCTATGTAGAATCCTATGAAAAATTAACCATTGCAAACTCATGTAGAATCCTATGAAAAATTAACCATTGCAAACCCATGTAGAATTGTATTAAAAATTATCCATTGCAAACTTATGTAGAATCCTACATTGCAAACCCATGTACAATAGAATTGTATGAAAAATTATCGATTATAAACCCATGTACAATCGTAACAAAAGTAATGAAATAAAAAAAAAATTGCGCCAAGTGAAAGTAGAAACTTGTACCAGTGGAAAATTAAAGTTGCAGACATATATAGAGTCGTATAATGAATCAGTAAAAATTTAAATTTGCAAATGTAGAATCGTACCATAAAAAAACTTATCTTTTAAAAAAAAAGATAAACAAGATGCCAAGTCCATGCGCCATGTGAAAAAGAAATAAAAAAATTTTAGTTAAAAAAACTGGGCGCGCTGCTAAATAATATTCTAACAATATTAAAATTAAATTGTTACTTTTAAACTCATTACAGTTAAAATATGTTTTGTGTTTAAATTAATTAATGTTACTTTAAGGTGCATTGTAATTTTGAAACTTAGCAGCGCGCCCAGTTTTTTTAACTAAAATTTTTTTATTTCTTTTTCACATGGCGCATGGACTTGGCATCTTGTTTATCTTTTTTTTTAAAAGATAAGTTTTTTTATGGTACGATTCTACATTTGCAAATTTAAATTTTTACTGATTCATTATACGACTCTATATATGTCTGCAACTTTAATTTTCCACTGGTACAAGTTTCTACTTTCACTTGGCGCAATTTTTTTTTTATTTCATTACTTTTGTTACGATTGTACATGGGTTTATAATCGATAATTTTTCATACAATTCTATTGTACATGGGTTTGCAATGTAGGATTCTACATAAGTTTGCAATGGATAATTTTTAATACAATTCTACATGGGTTTGCAATGGTTAATTTTTCATAGGATTCTACATGAGTTTGCAATGGTTAATTTTTCATAGGATTCTACATAGGTTTGCAATGGGTACGATTCTACATGGGTTTGCAATGGTTAATTTTGCCTAGGATTCTACATGGGTTTGCAATGATTAATTTTTCATAGGATTCTACATGGGTTTGCAATAGGATAGGATTCTACATGGGTTTGCAATGGATAATTTTTGTTAATGGCGTGCCCTTAACTGGTCGCCTTTTTTTACCTTTTTTTAAAGGTGAGTTTTTAGAGATTATATCATTCATTTTTGTATATTTTTATGACCGGAATAGAACAATTATTAAACATGTTTATCTAAACTTCTTTGCTTAAAATGATGTGTACAATCATATCCTAGAATCCTGATCATTCCTCCTAAAGCACCCTATTTATATAAATTTACCCATATGTGTGTGTGTGTGTGTGTGTGTGTGTACTAATGTCGAGCATTTTTTATACATTTTCTATTAAATTTAGATAAAAGTTGCAGGATTTCGAAAAAGAAAAAGTTGACACAGACTTTTTCCTAAACGGCGATTTTCAAGGTTATTTAAAGGTCACTTATATTTTCAAAATAGAATTACCTTAATTTTTCTCATATAAATCGATTCCTCGCAATATTTACTATAAAAAGTTGTAAAGGTATAATTTTTACATAATCTTACATAAACTTCGAAATATTACAAATATTTTATTTTATGAAATATTTCAGTTTATGTAAAATTATGTTAACTATCTTTTAAATTATTCACTTTTAGCCATCTTACCCTTACAACCTTTTATAGTGAATATTGCAACAAATTGGTTTATATATATAATATATATATAACATCAGTTATTATTAATTGATGTTTACATTTATTTTTAGACTTACTAGAGCTCAAATGCTCCACATTTTTTGCAAAAACTGTTTATTCTACAGATTTCAAATATGCTTTTAAATGATGATTGAATATTATCTTTTTTTAATTATTTTTATTATTATTTTTCAATCTCAATCAACTTCTATAACCTTATGCCAGCAGGATACAAATACATGTATGTCTTTATTATTGTATCAACTCTTGTCTTTTCCATGTAACCATGTCTTCATAGTTTGAATTATCCCTTCATCTTCTCAATCTTTCGCAGAGATTTAATTAATTAAATACACTTCACACGAAATAAAGTTTGCTGGAAGATATACAGCAAACGATAACTGTAAAAACATGATTACGTGGAAAGAACAAGAGTTGGTACAGTAAAGGCAAGTAAGTAAGTAC